AAAAAAAAAAAAAAAGAAATACATTTTACATAGTGACCCAAAGGTGTATGTACATGTACATACAGTGATACAAACATTCAAGTACCTTCAGTATAGTAAAATGGAAACAAAATAATACTGAAACAGGCCAGGCATGGTGGCTGGTGCCTGTAATCCCTGAACTTTGGGAGGCCGAGGTGGGTGGATCACCTGAGGCCAGGAGTTCAAGACCAGCCTAGCCAACATGATAAAACCCCATCTCCATTAAAAATCCAAAGAAATTAGCTGGGCGTGGCGGTACAAGCTTGTAATTCCAGCTACTCAGGAGGCTGAGGCAGGAGAATCACTTGAACCTGGGAGGCAGAGGTTGTGGTAACTGAGATCACACCACTGCCCTCCAGCCTGGGCAATAAAGAATACTGAAACCATACCCGATTACATGTAACACACTCTGATATTTCTCTATCTTGCTGGGGAAAAAATAAAAACAAAAAAGCTAGTTGCAAACCACTAAATTGATTTCCAGACACAACCCAGAGTTTAATAAACATCACCCTAAGTTATATACTTAGTATAGGTACAAATAAAAAAATTGCCAGGCGTGGTGGCTTCTGCCTGTAATCCCAGCTCCTCAGGAGGCTGAGGCAGGAAGATTGCTTGAGGCCAGGAGTTTGAGACCAGCCTGGGAAACACATCAAGACCCTGTCTCTAAAAAAACAGGCCTGGTGGTGTGCACCTGTAATGCCAGCTACTCAGAGACTGAGGCAGGGGGATTATTTGTGCCCAGAAGTTTGAAACTGTGGTGAGTTGGTGAGTTGTGATCACACCCCTGGCACTCTAGCTGGGGTGACAGAGTGTGATGACCTTGTCTCTAAAAATGAATGAATGACGTATGAATAAATATTAAGGGCCAAAAGTTTAGGTAGTGATAGAATCAGCCAAAATAAGGATTAGGGTCCAATTCTTTAGAATACAAGTTCAATCTTCCCACTATTTCCTAAAAGACTTCATTAATAACAAGTTGCTTCAAAACTAATAAAAGTTACCAGTAATCTAATGTCCAGACCAACTCTGACCTGATGAATACCGATAAGCACTCTATGCTGTTTACTCTGCAGACTACATGGATGAAAATCAGCTGGTGTGACAGTGGCACATGGTTAGTTAACTCCAGGGACATATTTTAGTACACGATCTTAGAACTCAATACATTCTCATTCATTCCTGGGGGAATGAATGGTGAAAATAACGACCAGAATGATTAACACAAGCCAAATCACTTCAATCATTGTTTAAAGCTCCTTCTGTAATCTAGTAAAATATTAGGTCCTGTCACACCAGAGAAATGAATGATTTATCTTTGAGCTAAACCACTAGGGAGTGCTTCGCAGGGGTGAGGCAAGGATCTGAATTTTGTACTTCTGGCAGTAACCAATCGGTTCTGGAAGATCCACTCTTTGAACAAATTAATATAAAAATACGTTTTGTCTTTTTCCTGCTCAGAAAATTCCAAGCACTCCAGTGGCTTCTAGGACAAAACTCAAACGTACTCAACACATTCTGGCATTGAAGAGTCTTCACATTCTCACTCCACGCCTCTCTCACTCCCCGCCTCATCACCACACTAACCCTCCTTTCAAGTTGCTTCTTTCTACCTTTGTGTTCTGGACCTTGCCAGGAGGAGGAGAACCTGCTACTCGGCCTCGAAAAAACTCCAACTCATCCTTTCAAACCCGGCTGAGGCGTCCATCCAGGAAAACTTATCTGACTTTTGACCCGGAATTTTGCAACACTCAGGCTAGACAGAAAACATGGTGACAGATGACATGATCTGTCTTACCCAGGAGTCAGTGTGACGATGGCTTCGGCTCCGCTGAGTCTGATGGCGCATAAGGGCCCGTCCCAGCGACCCACCGGCCGGGGCTCTCCTCCGCCCCATGGCAGCACAACCGCCGCAAGAACCCTCCCCGCTCGGCGCGTGCAGTTTCCGGAATTCACAGTTTGATTACCGGAAGTGACGATAAGCGAGCCCAAGTAGTTCAGGCTCAAAGTTGACAGGGGAAAGCAGAATGACTTATCCTAAAGTGCTCTTTTACGTCTTGAGCTTGCCAGTATTATAGAATATAAATGAAAAGATGCTTCTGGAACTTTTCTGTGGATTTCCTGGCGAATATCTCGAGTTTGGATGAGTTAAAAGAATGGTCCATTCTCGATTTGTGCGTCGGGATTTAGCGTCCGGCAAGAAACTGAAGCGCCAGGGAAGCATGGGGGTTCCTATTCGCGGCACTAGCTCCGCCTCCCGCGGCTTCCGTCAGGAGGAGGCGGAGTCTCGGAGGAAGAGTGTTTCGGTGGCGCTAGGACGGGGGCGTTTCCCAGCGCTGGTTTTCAGCTGGCGTTCTAAGGTGTGGTCTCTCCGAGGTCCAGCCCAGCAACTAATTTTTTGTTTACCTATCCGTCCCCAGCTGCGAACTGGAGAGAAAAGTCTTCACCTGGATGTGAATTTGGAATGAGAGGCTGAATAATATTTCTAGAGCTTGGCAAGGTTGTAAAGAAAGCCAACAGGAAGTGACTTACGCTTTATTTCAAATAAAAAAGTGTTTAAACAGTTCTAGTTACAATTTCATTACAATGGACTGGGCGCGGTGGCTCACGCCTGTAATCCCAGCACTTGGGGAGACGGAGGCGGGCGGATCACCTGAGGTCAGGCGTTCGAGACCAGCCTGGCCAACATGGTGAAACCCAGCCCCCCACCCCCGTCTCTACTAAAAATACAAAATTAGCCGGGCGTGGTGGCGCATGCCTGTAATCCCAGCTACTCGGGAGGCTGAGGCAGGAGAATCGCTTGAACCCGGGAGGCGGAGGCGGCGGTGAGCCGAGATCACGCCATTGCACTTCAGCCTGGGCAACAAGAGTGAAACTACGTCTCAAAGTTTTTTTTAAATAATAGTAAGAATTAAAATGAAAGTGCCGGGCGCGGTGGCTCAAGCCTGTAATCCCAGCACTTTGGGAGGCCAAGGCGGGTGGATCACGAGGTCAAGAGATCGAGACCATCCTGGTCAACATAGTGAAACCCCGTCTCTACTAAAACTACAAAAAATTAGCTGGGCATGGTGGTGCGTGCCTGTAATCCCAGCTACTCAGGAGGCTGAGGCAGGAGAATTGCCTGAACCCAGGAGGCGGAGGTTGCGGTGACCCGAGATCGCGCCATTGCACTCCAGCCTGGGTAACGTGAGTGAAACTCTGTCTCAAAAAAAAAAAAAAGAATTAAAATGAAAGTGAAAACAGTCAGCCAGCTCCACTCCTAGAGGCCTGGGCTTTTGTTCCTCACTTTAATGTCCAATTTCCCTATAATGGGAATATAAAGTCAGTTTCGACATTCTCATTGATCTGGAGAAAGCAGCTTGAGCAGGTCATAGATTGAGTGCGTGCAGTGTCAGGAATCAAACCCAAGTCTTGTCACTAGCCTGTACACTCCTGGGGAGAGGGGGAATGAGAATTGTTAATATGTATTTTTATTTTTATTTTTTTGTTGCCCAGGCTGGAGTGCAATGGCATGATTTCAGCTCACTGCAACCTCTGCCTTCTGGGTTCAAGCAATTCTCCTGCCACAGCCTTCTCAGTAGCTGGGATTACACATGTGGGCCACCGCACCTGGCTAACTTTTGTATTTTTAGTAGAGACAGGGTTTCGCCATGTTAGCCAGGCTGGTCTCAAACTCCTGACCTCAGGCAATCCCACTGCCTCGGCCTCCCAAAGTGCTAGCATTACAGGCGTGAGCCACCGCACCCAGCCAAACATGTATTTTTAAATCATAGGCTCAAGGTAATGCATGTATTACCTAGCACGGCTTGATTTAGCCATTCCACAATGTACACACATATCAAAACATCATGCTATACAACATAAATAATATACCATTTTTACATATCAAAACAACAGCCAAAAAGAAATAAAATAAGTCATAGGGTCAAGAATCCATTTAATCCAGGGCTTCTCACACTTTATTGTGCCCATGGATCCCCTGGGAATCTTGTTAACATGCAGATTCTGATTCATAAGGTCTGGGGTGAGGCCTGCGGCTCTGTTTCTAACAAGCTTCCAGGTGATACCCATGCTACTGGTCCCTGGGTCACACTCTGAGTAGCAAGAGTTGTCCATTCCTTTTTTGTGCAAATGAAGACACAGAAGTGGACTGGCTAAAGGTCAGTCATAGCAAGTTAGCATCAGGCGAAACTGGGTCCAGACTCCCACCCATTTCTGATTTCCCTGCCAAGCCCTCTGTTTGCTACACCTCGCCCTTCTTACTGAATTGAAGTGACTTTTGGGAAGTGCCCTAGGGGACTGCTGACAAGCTGTGGAGTGGTTGGCAATGGTTTGAGAAGGCAGTGCTCACAGATGAGCAAACAAATGCATCTGAACAGGATTGCTCCTGTTTCCCAGTTTAGAAACAGTGTATCTTTAAAATCCCTGCACATAATCTCCAGAAGTAAGATTGAATAGAATTAGCAGACAGCTCCTGGTATTCTCTACACAGCTAAGTGGCTGAAGATCAAACTAACTCATGAAGTAAGATTAGGTGGATTTCGTGGTTTAATAATAATACTAGGAGATGATATAAAGAAACTCACTATCTCATTCCTAGAGCTCATTCAGCCAGGAACTTGGGATTTCACCCTAGTTTCCTTTTCCTGATTGTGTCACCTCCAAAGATTTCTGAGAAAATAAACACTTAGGTTTTCTATTGTCACTTTTCTAAGGGCTTAAAAAATCTTGACCAAATAAGGCCAGGCATGCTGGCTCACACTTGAAATCCCAACACTTTGGGAGGCTGAGGCAGGTGAGTCACATGAGCTCAGGAGTTCGAGACCAGCCTGGCCAACATGGTAAGCCCTCTCTCTATTAAAAATACAAAAATTAGCCAGGCGTGGTGGCGGGTGCCTGTAATCCCAGCTACACGGGAGGCTGAGGCAGGAGAATTGCTTGAACCCGGGAAACAGAGGTTGCAGTGAACCCAGATCGCACCACTGCACTCCAGCCTGGGCAACAAGAGTAAAACTTTGTCTCAAAAAAAAAAAAAAAATCTCGACCAATTAAACCAAAGTGATAATCAGGTATGGTGAGGAGTCAAAACGTTATCCAGATTTAATTAGCAGCAACTATTCCTAGCTGACAAGAAAAGCATACATAATTCTAATATTTCTCCCAAGACGTTATGAAAATCTACCAATGACAGACAATTGAGTCTCAGTCTTCTTATCTGGTTAATGGGGCTAATAACAATTCCTCTCCTGGAGAGGTAGCCAACGAGAAAATGCCGCAAGGTCATTACCAGTAATTTGTGGGGTACCAACTAGCACAGCTGAACACATTTTTTTCCCCTAACAACTAAGCAATGAAGGTGAGAACCCAGCTGGAAAATTTTTCAGTGAGAAGGACAAGGAGGAAGGGAATCGAGGGTGTTGATGAGACAAGATCATCGGACCCAGATTAAAAGGAACGAAGTAAGATTGTCGGGGGAGTGACGATGGCGGTGATGAAGGGTGGAGCAAGGTCCTGGCTGCTGCCCAAGTGAGGGGGTTGCAAAGATAAATCAGGCCAGGTCCCTGCCCTCCAACTGCAGAAGCCATTTTGCCCACACACTTCAGGAACAACCCTACCTAGCAAACTTTCTAACACCAGCAGAAACTCTCACCCACCAGGCTTGTGTCTGGAAGATGAGTCAGATCCTTCTGATTCCCCACGTAGCTGAGCACTTCTGTTAAAGCCAGGATTCTCTGAAAAGCTGGCTCCTGGAGGAGGCTGTGTTGATTTGGGGATTGGAAGCCTGGCATCCAGTTTCTAAATAGCGACACAGGGAGTGTTCCCTATTCATAGTGTTGCATAATGCTCGATTTCCACCACGTCTGAACAAACGTAGTTGCAAGCTCTGAAACCCACACCCAGCAACAAACTTTGGAGTTGCTTTCAGCTCTCTAAGTCCACACTGCTGTGCCTCTGGGCTCCACATCTGTTGGGAGGAAGGAGAGGAAAGAGTGGGTTGGTTTCTGTTTTGTTTTTCCTTTCACGCCTTGGCGGAAAATGTGTTGGTGGCAGAAAAGTCGTTCCAAGGCGAGCTTGCAGCCTGGTCTCTCTCCTTCTTTTCCATACGATACATCACCTCCTTCTCAAAGGACATTAAAGCAGTTTGCATAAGGCTGAGAGTTGTGAAAACTGAAGTCTGGCAGCCTCTGTAGCGCGTAATTGAATCAGTAGGGAAACTCCCTCTGATTATCTGCCATTCTCAGTTTATCCCTGTTGAAACTGGGTGGATTCTCACATGAGTTTCAATAATTCAGCAGACTTTTAAAAGTCTTTTTGCCAGGCACGGGCACGGTGGCTCACGCCGATAATCCCAGCACTTTGGGAGGCCAAGGTGGGCGGATCACAAGGTCAAGAGATCGAGACCATCCTGGCCAACATGGTGAAACCCCATCTCTACAAAAAATACAAAAATTAGCTGGGCGTGGTGGCGTGCACCTGTAGTCCCAGCTACTCGAGACACTGAGGCAGGAGAATTGCTTGAACCCAGGAGGTGGAGGTTGCAGTGAGCCAAGATCACGCCACTGCACTCCAGTCTGGCGCCTGGCGATGGTGCGAGACTCTGTCTCAAAAAAAAAAAAAGAAGTGTAAAAGATTTCTTGCTTTGGTGACACAGGATACAAGATCCTACGTACACTGTATTTGAACCCATGAACTTTTTCTCAACTCGTGTTATGTTCGGAATATCTAGTGGCTTTTATTCACAGATGACTTTGCAATTACTTTTCCCACTTGACCGTCAAGTGAGAAAGGGTATTGTTATTTTACTGCATTTTTAGGTCTAGAAATGGAGGCCCAAAACAGTTAAGCAAAGTAATATAAAGGAGGCTAGAAGTAGTATGAATAATAACCAACTCTAAAATCTGCAAATGGAAAGTCCTAGGTTTCTCCCATTCATTCATTCATTCACTCACTCATTCATTCACTCATTCATCGCAGGACTCTGAAGCTTCAGCACTGGACAAACTCCCTGCCCTGAAGACCTTACACTTTAGTGGTGATCAGCCTAACAGAGAGACTCAGCCAGGGTTAAATAGCTCAAGTCATGAACTACAGCACCAGGTAGACCTTACTCCATTAAGAGGGCATCTGACCACTAGGATTTTACTTTTTGTTTGAAAAAGTGATCGGTCTCCTTAAATCACCATAATAAATATACTA